CAGACACAAATAAATGTATAGTTATCTAAGGATAAACACACACAATTTACGGCTTGTTCCTGAATAGTCTCTGTGGTGAATAAACAATGGTAAAGTTCTCCAAATTAACACTTACCTACATGTTGGGATTCAAGGCATCATTGCATGATTTCACAATCGGATCGGAGGTTGCCATTTTAAAATCTCCCGGGAAACTATTTACGCCTTGTAATCAATCCATAAAAATGTAGTCCTTTATCAAAATAGCCATTTACGTCCACAAAGCACGGTAAAACATAATACTTTTACTATATTTATTTAAACCAACTACTTTATGAAGTATTTGAATCATTTTGATACATTTTCCAGTTCAATTAATGCAAGAACGTATTTATTTATCACGATTCTTGATAAAATCACCGCTTGTGGTGGCAAGGGTTACCGGAGGATGGCGCGTGACCCTTGTTACGCAGGATGCCGCGGTTCGTGACAGTGTGCCAGAAAACGATGTGTTTCAGGATTGTGTCAGTATAAAATAACTCAATACTAGACGTCTTCTCAAAATGGAATCTGTGGCAAATTGTATATATTAGCAACATCGTTCAGGGATAGATTGCCAATAATCGTTTTATTCATTAATTCAAGTAAAACTGTATTAAATCAGAATTACAACACAAAATAAACTCACCAAAAATTCAATAAAATATTGCGAAATATAACCACTTAAATTCCACTTCATGCAGTACAAACGTTTCCGTTATATAATCACATAACGGCGCCTTGGTATACATACACGTCAAAAGTAAGATCTCGCTTGTAAAAAACTCAAGTTTCAAAACTCACTGCATTAGGCAAATGCGACGATAAATATATATCACATACTTCTTAACAAATTGTGTTACATGGAGTTTAAAAAACAGAATTATTACAAGTATTTGATGTCCAACAATATAAACGACATCTCGTGTTCTAATATAGAATGTTGCGACCGCTACTTCAAAGTGCATGAACTGGCTCAGAATAAATGGAAATATGAAGTCAACTGAAATCAAAATTAAGCCCAAATTGGTATCGAATGATGCAAAAACATGAATTTTTACTTATGCATACCTATATTCCGGGGTCAGACTAAAATAACTTCGGAAAACTTGCATCGAATATGCACAACGAAAACTACGTATACTTTCGCTTTGAAAGTCAGAATGCGGAGATATCGCCACAAGAGGGCGCCATCCCAACGTCAATAATTTAGAACTAATAGTTCCCACAGGAAGATGATGATGATGATGATGATGATGATGATGGGTGAGTATTAAATTATAAAGTCATCGCCTGATTATTTCTCAGTACTAATTCACTGTTATAATGCTGTACCATTACTTTCACCATCCTACTACAGCCAGATCTGAAGGCCTTTGCCGCATTCTGGCCACGCTGTGTGGCGCGGATCGCGTGGACGGCTTTAATGCTCTCTGCTCGTAATAAGCTCGGTTATTAAGCATCCTTTCTTGGGGATGCTCGGTGGCCGAGGGGAAGACGTTTAGTGGCATGAAGCTAGGCGATTAGGTGCCGTACGCGAGCGCCGGTTCGAGTCACGCACGCAGTACGTGTTTACTATAATTAGACATAGTCGTTACCTTGCCGTTTATTCGGTGTTATTTGTTTACTAATAATTTAGAACGTTCGATCGTTCTTCTTGGTTCTCGAGTAGTTGTTACAGAATCAATTGAAGTACCTGTTCACGGACCCAACATCAAATTTGATATCCCACAGGAAGATGATGATGATGATGTTGGGTGAGTATTAAATTATAAAGTCATCGCCTGATTTTATATTACTACTATTTGATAACATACAGCATATTATGTCAATACCCGAAATATCGTCACTTCAAGCACTGATCGTTGCTACTATTTCATTTTTTTTAAAAGTTGTTTATCTTTTTTTCTGTTTTATTTACTGTCAACTATGTAGATCTCCCTTAGAAAACGAAGCGATACCGAATCAAATCAATGGTTCTCGTCGGAAAAACATGTACGGAGAACGGCGAAAGAGTATATACGACAATTCACGCCATAAAAGCGTATACCCATCGATGGCAACTCGTAGTTCGAGCGCGTTTGGTGAAGAAAGCAACATAGGCAGCTCTCCAAGTTTATATCGTAGGGTAGGCGAACATTGATTTCCGATCCACCATGCTGTTATGCTTAAATTGATTGTTGTCGCATTTGACCACGGTTTGCCTCGCCATTTGAACACCATTGTTCGCCTCGGAGAGCGATACCTGTTCAGTTGTAGCGACAACATGTACGCTTTGGTGGACGTAATCTACTTTGTCAACAAATATTATTAGTGTACACGGTTTTCAATTAATGACAGTCCTATGGACAAGGAATATTGATTGATGTTTCTTGTACTATGTGCGTTCATTCTGGTTATTATTAATTTCACGTTGGGTCTGAATGGCGAGGTTCACCCTCAGTGAAGTGGACATTATTGAAAATCTTGTCTTGTACGGCTCATTTCGTCTTGTCTCGTTACGATAACATGAATATTCAACGGTCTGTAGTACGTGGTTGTAATTCCAACTTAATCCTATCGGCTATTAATATAGAAATATTCAGTGAGAATTACTAATAAGGAATACATTCCGGGTATTCTCAGCAACGACTCACTGACACCCACGATCCCGATTAATCTTACTCTACAACCATCAGCACTTAAACGACCTACCCCGGCAGCCACCGGTACCCCGGCCCCGTTCACTGGTGCTCTCCACCAGTACTTACTTGCACTCTACAAGAAGTCCGCCACCACCATGGGCACCCCTGGGATAACACCATGTTCCTTTTATACAAGGCGCCTTTCACATTGATAATTAGAAGACATCAATGAAAATACGCTCAATTCAAATTTGGTGAGTTTAGTTACTAATCCTGATTGTTCATTGTACGAGATGGCAATGTTATTTTACCCATCGATAGTGTACGCTAAATCTAATTTAATAACACGCCTTAGCCGTCCGGATTGAGATAGGTCTCAGGGAGTGTTTCATGTCTGGAAAGTACGACATGCGAACAACCGTTTCTTGTATGGGGAACAGAACATTATATCAGTACACTGAATAACTTATTACACGGAGTTTCGTGCCAGTCATTATAAGCCATTCTTGCTAGGATACGCTGTTATTTGAGATATTCCCATTAACAATGTTGTGCAGTGGACGATACAATGTACATCTCATTGCAATAGTTCACCATCGTAACCAATTCATAGTCGCCTGAGACAAGTGGGCAACGGACAACAAAACATGGCTTTTACTGTCGGCTTATTAACACTTACCTGGTTTGCGACCTCGTGATATTCCGGCAGACTGATTGTAGTTTGTTCGTTTCTTTGTATGCTATGCATGATGGAGGTGTCAGGAAGGCGAACTTCGTCGACGCTACCTCCCGCGCGGAGGGGCACCACTATCTCGTGGTTGGAGAATAGGGAAAGAGACTTGTTACGTATACGCTTACAAAGTGCCTCTCTTAATCGACAGAATTCAAAAAAAGATGAGCGTGCAAAATCGAATCGAACGAAAGCAACAAGATTGGAAGATGAAATGAACAACGATCATTTACAGAAGCTCCAGATGATATTTGAGGTAGGTATGACGTCATCAGTAATAGGTGATAAGTGTTTGTTACACTAATATGAAAAAAAGAAATTTTTTCAAACGAATTATGCATTGTACATGCTTGTTTTATATGGGAAAGTTGTAGTAAAATGGGATTACTTATTTATTTTTCTCGAAACTTAATCATTACCACACTGTCTCAACTCAGTACGCTGGATGATGAATTGTTTACAGTTACTCGTACATATACCGGTGTATACATAGCATATTACTTTCCCGTATTACCCATCGTAGTGACGAACTACACGAATATGAAATTCACGACGTAAGTCTGTAAACCCAGTACATTTGCATGACTAAACACTCACCACTTCACACCATCACATCTTCAGTACACGTATGTCACATATGAATTGCTGTACAGATGATCACATCACGCGTATAGTAAATTGCGAATTTCCTAAACTTACAGATAATCGACGCCGTCGCTATAGATATATAACTGTATTTTTTTTTTTAATTGAATACAACTATTATGAAAATAACTTTGTTTATTTTTCATAATACTGTGATATCCATAGTAATAATAGCAGTTAACATTCAAAACTCGTCTATCTTGTTCAAAATTAGAGAAAATACAAAAAAAGGCAAATTATAAACATTGCAGGGTAAAAGTTGTAAACAGCAAAGGGTCAGCACCAACTCGGACGGATATTTCGACGACAGTAGAACTACAATACCTGACATACAGTTGCACATTGTCCACGTCAGCATGGGTATTGTATCTTTAAATTGTCTGTAATGGGCATTAAACGAACAATAAATACGTCATGATCGTAGTCACGGTGAGAATGTGCGATTGTCGGTTGTTTCCCCTGAAAACATTTGATGCCCATACCAACACATCGGCGCCTGTTGTCAAATACATGCCGGCCCTCTCAATGTCAAACTGAAATTAATTTCAAAATTTAAATAATTTAAATGTTTTCTTATGCTTTAAAACAGGAAGCTGATGAAGATGGCGGTGGTGGTCTGGACATCGACGAGTTCCGCCAGGCAATGAAAAGAACCATGGGAGCTGGTCAGGTATACAAATCACCATCTTACGCGTATAATTCGTATATATTTATACTTATGATATATAGTAGATAATATTTTGTAATCGTAGTCCTAAGTAACTATTAAAAATAGCTAGACGTTTCGAGCAAAGGCTTTTTATCAATATTTATACTTGCATCATTCGTGGACTGTAACTTACGCATTTCATTATACCACGCAGGTTGACGATCGTCAGTTAGCAATTGTGTTTATGAAAGTTGACGCCAATTGTGACGGAACCGTAGATTGGGTAAGTGACCGTGGCAGCGCCTTCAGTTATACCACACGTACTACGCCACGATTAAACCACATACCACACTTGTATTCGCGCACGTGTCCAAAAACTTTTCCAGCGAGTACACGTCGAGCTGATACTGTGTATAGCAGTGGGTACATGTAAGTAATATGATGATGTGTTCATTTTTTTCAGGACGAATACTTGTCGTATATGCTGCTGGAATACCAAGAACGTGCGCTGATGAATACTCTTTGCAAAGATGTAAGTATTGCTAGGTCGGCTGTCGTGGTGATACCGGGGGTGATACCCAGAATATTGAAGGGCGGTAGTCCTCGCGCCGCGTCCTGTTCGGCGTACACAACGTGTGTGAAACACATTGTTTACGTGAATTCGAACATGCGATGTGCAGCGACCACCACCCTTAAAAATGTCAGTTAACTTTTCAAAACTTTACATATGTGCATTTATTTTATTTTTTACCCGTAGTTTTATTACGTAATAGTTAACCTCTGTTATTTTACCATAGATACCATTCTCCAAACCGGTTAAAGATATTCCAAGGTAAACACAGTGAGGCTATTGCTGTATATTAATATGACATCGTAATATAAGGCTATTATATTAGTACTGATATTGAAGTTCACTCGAACTATTTTACGCCTCTCCCGATTCTCGCAGCATTGCGAATTTTACATACTAGTAGTATCTCGTACAATCGGAACCACCGCTTTTACAAATTCGTCTTCGTGCACTCTTTCATTCACACTGCTACCTGACGTTTTATTTGCGCTACTGTAAACAAGATTGTCCTTTATTGTGTTTCTATAGCAACCATCATGAAATGCTAACAGGTATCGCGTTTCTGCCAACGATAATTCATCGCCATGGCAGCGTCGCTGATGAATCTGAGCACTCAGTAGGGAGGTACATCTCAGTCAGTAAAGAAGGCACTGTCAATTTCTGGTCACTCGATTTGGCCAATTTAAAGTCTGTGTCGGTAAGTGTATATATGTGTTCAATGTCGTAGTCATGTAATTTTGGTCTCCGATCCTAACCGGACAATAAAGCCCTGTATACGCGTAATATTTATGTTTCAATTATCCGATGACATCGAACTTGTAAATAAAGTCCATATATAGAAATAAAACTGATAATACATATCAATTATTGTGGGAAAATGTTTCTGTATTAGTAAGACATGTGATCAAAATGTTGTTTGGCCAATCAAAAGGTTTGTTTTGTTGGGTACATAACATTACCTGAATTGAAGTTAGAATTCGGGGATGTAAACGCGACGATAGAAAAATGAACACAATAATACTCAATACGTGATGTTATTATGCAAATCTCAATACAACAGTGAGAATAGAGCTTCATCCTTCTACGTTTTAATTTTAATCCAGTGTTTGACGGATTTTTTTAGAATGAAAAACTCACTTTTATTTAATACAACGTTGTGTCCGGGTTGCAATCCATTACAATAATGGGATTGTGTATTTCTGTTTTTAGTTGGAACAACCACGTGACAAAGTCAGTCCCATGTGGATAACGGACATGGTGTGTATGCCCAATATCAACATGATAGCACTATCCTCTACAGAGCGGGATATTTGTAAGTATGAACCAGAAGATAGTATTTCCAATGTCTTAGTGCAAACTAATTTGTTGAACAGTTCTCCTCCTACCCACATCATTGTCAATTCTATTTTTCTTTGGTAGGTTTTTATGACGTCAACGCCAATAAATTTGATAAAGTCTTCCAAGTAACTGGTATATCTCATTGCGCGATGTCAATGGATTACTGGTAAGTGCTGAGTTTCAGACATCACATCCTCAACATTTGTCGTATAGCGCTCTCTCGAAGCATCTTCCTTGCGTCTGAATTTAGTAAAGATATAATTTAGTAGAGAGTGGCAGACTTTCGTTAATACTCCTACAGTCGTTAAGAAGTTGGGCCGAATTTAAATGTTACACTACTGAGCATGTTACTGCACATAAGTGCAATGCATTATGGGAGGGAAAATTCATTCTGTGTAATAGAAAACTTTCACTCTGGAAACTGAGTAAATTATATATCATGACTCTTTAAAATGTTTTTATTCATATCACTAGGTACGACACACATAACATGAACCATGCTGTGCTGGCATTCGGTGACTCTGGTGGTAACGTTTCAGTTATCGTGTTTAAAGAGGCATTGGGTTCAGCTCTGTTTGGTGCGCAGAATGCGAAAGGGGGTAAGTGAAATTGACGTATAACTATTCACTGTTATCGCGAGTAATTGTATCACCCAATAGGTAGTGAATGTTGATACGTCAACAGGACGAAATCAGTGTTTTATACTAAACGACTACCAGTCGTAAACACGTTAGAATGAAAACAAACAAACACATTCCGTAATTATTGAAAAATTATATTTTGTTTTAGTTGGTTCACGGAGAGTTCCATTCCCTCAGTTATTGAAAGGACAGGTGAAGGGAATAAGGGCCCTCAGATATCGGGTAAGTACAATGGTTAAGAATAGTCTACAGTGTACTTGCATCTTACTTGAATATAAATAACATTTCGGTTATTATAATAAAACGTATTACGTCACCCGGATCATATTGACATTACAGGTCATTGCCATTGTTGCAGGAATTGTTAGTCGACAAAACATTATTCTACAATCAATTACGTAACCCATTTGTTATTATCTTATCGTTAACGCCGTATCTTATAATCACATTCAATTTTGCGTCGATGATATCCTCATCTCATTTTTCAGAAAGTACATGAGGATTGGGTGAGAAAGGTCAGATACTGTCATAACCTGCATTCCGTTGTGTCATGCGCTACAACTACGGATGCCTCACTGTTTATTGGCGATGTCGAGAGAAAGAGAGTGTAAGTCTTACAACTAGTGTACATTTCATTTAACTTTACCACATGTGGTCACGTGGTCCATTGTTTTGGCCGTGGTAAACCCAAACATGTATTTTTGTCTCAATGCTAAATGTGAACCGGCCACAGTTGTATTCATATGTAGAGTTTAATTGCAACAGATAACTGTTGGATAGTTTTTAAACCGGCATTGTCTTAGCTACGTAACTGTGGCATATTTTGTAAACCGTTAATGTAAATCAGACCTCGCATCTTGGTTAAGACAGGGCAGTTTTAGTCAAGGTTAAACGTTTGGAGTTGGCGAGGAGATAGACTTCTTTCTGTTCTTCTTCGATTATTGAAAAAGAAAACGAGTATTAGAAAGGTCATGTCAATGTCAAGTGTTATGTATTGAATTATTCATGAGCAAATGACGAAATATTTAATACATATTTTGTATTTATGTAAAGTAACTTGCGTTCAGTTCTGTGTGCTTACATACAGCCGATTGCTGCATATTTCATGCTCATTATTATCATCATGTTATTCTTTAATTTAGAACATTACAAAATAGAAATATAATGTTTTTTTTCTTTCTTTCTTTAGCGGCGGAATATTTCGAATTCGTAAAGGACTTCCGTGTTTTGAATATTCCAACGAACACAATGTAATCGGTATGTATGTGTATGTGTCAAAAATCTTAAATCCAATATCTCACTAAGTGTTGACATACCCGTAAATAAAAGTTCGTACCTTAAATTGAACAAATTACCGTAAATTCCACTCAATTCCTGAAATTTGTAACACTAAACGCATCAAATATACAATAAAAACAGGTTTGTCAATCATGTTCGGTTCACGGGACCCCTTCCTCACAAACATCTGCACCTCGACGCAAGTAAACTACACGCGTCTTCAGACTCGTAGCGTGCATGTAACGGATACTCCTTTCTGCACACCATGGTATTATTGTTATATGTTTACTATTTATAACCCGAACATTGAGTAATATTAAAAACGAAATGGTCATAGCGATTAAAAACCACGGTTAACATTACTTGGTTCAAATTTCCATAGGAACATATGAACTTATATTTATAATATATTACTTTGTAGTTAATTGTATGTGTATTCTTGTATATTTACACTCTAGTAACTGGTGGGATGGACCGGACAGTCAGAATATGGAACCCTTATGTGAATACTAAAGCAACAGCGGTATTGAAGGGACATAACACAGCAGTGATGCATATCGAGATGAACAGCTTCAACGGGCATATCATCAGCGTGGCCAAAGATAAGGTATTCCAACTCTTGCCTCGTTAGCTCATGGGAAAAATATATTATTTATTTCAACGAACGTATATAACATTTTTCTCTCTGGGTTTATAGCAAATTAAAGTGTGGGATATTCGAGATCAGTCCTGTCTACAAACGATTGCTGGTAGAAACGTGCACATTGGACCACATCACATCAACACAGTGTGTTATAATGCCCGTACAGGGACTCTTATTATAGGAACGAATACGGTGAGTGACGTCATTAACGTACACGAGGTCCGGGATAAGTAAAGGGCTTTCACGCTGAGGCTATTAATGGCGATGGTACGAATAACGTCTCGCGATATCCTAATACATCCTAATTCGATTTTATGCAAATGATATGTTCGTATTGTCGTGTTATCAATTGTGTAAATAACTGAATACAACGTAACATGTGCAAAAGCTCTTATATCTGTTGATTGTAGCGAGTTGTGATGATCCTATTTGAGATTTGAATCATGTAAACATAATTTAGAATTTTCATATCTGAAAAGCAAAGTGTAACGTTTCGCCTAGCTGTATCAAGAACTAGAACGTGATCAAAACAAGTTAATGGTGTGTTTATATTTCTGTAGTTGTCGGTGTTTGAGCGAAAGGCCGAAGAGGGCGAAGACGGAGCTGAGCCAACGTCTCACAACAACACTGTGACGATTGCGTTATATAATAGCCTATTCAACCAGGTAGTGAGTGCGTGCGTAGATTCCATAGTCAGTGTATGGGACCTTGATAACGGTACTAAAACTATCCAGTTCAGTGCCCATAGATGCCAAGAAAGGGGGGTAGAAAAAAGTGTTGAAATCACAACGATGACGTTTGACCCCAGCTGCCGGCGCCTCATAACCGGTGCAAGAAATGGCACTTTGAAAATTTGGAATTTCAACAATGGTGCGTGTCTCCGTGAGCTTCAGATCTCTGATCCATATGAGGTATGGTAATACTTCATTCATTAATTCATTTATTCATTCATTCATTTCTCGGTAACCAAACTTTTTTGGGGTTTACTATCGATTAATCAGATTTGTTTTGTGTTTACAGCTTACTGGTATCATATGCTCGAAGCATCGTATCATTACCACTGGATGGAACCGACGAATCACAACCTATATGTAAGTTACATCTATTTACACGTATTATATTATAGGAATACAATAATTAGTGCGCTGAAAGGAAGGATGGCGTGACATAACAGTGGGTTACTGGGTACGTTTATTATTGCTGATATAGCTATGTTTTATTTTCGTATTCTTACAGTGATTCAGAAGACGAGAACGTTGGCCGGCAGTGGCCAATTCGACACAACGACGACGTTCTCTCGCTTTCATATTACGCACCAAATCATATTGCGACCTCTTCGTATGATGGTGATATCATAACGTGGTCCTTGGAAACTGGACATATGCTGACTCGCATGAACGCAACGGAAAGTGTCAAAACGCAGACAGGGCGTATCGCTACACGAGCCACGCCATGCACTCCGATACGATCGTCTGAAAGAGATGCTAGGCAACTACCGAATGCCCCTGACAAACCAGCACACACTGAAGACAAATCCAACGCCCTAGGACCCATTGACAAATCGATAGAACAGCGATGCTCACGCTTAGATATCGAACCAAAACCGATTGACGGTTCTACAAAAAGTCTGACAAAATCGCTGCCTGTTCTTCCGCGGATAGGTGAGACCGTTGCAGCTAACGATGTCGCTGTATCCGCACCGAGTGGCGACGCCACATATTCAGACATTGACAATAACAAGTCGAAGCTATTACATTCACCCAACGAGCAGTATTACCTTCTCAATTCAGGGACGTATGAAGATTTTCAGCGAAAACACGAAGCATCTGTCGACAAGGTGAGCTTGATCTAATTGTATTTGTTTACCCTAAATTCCACTGGACATCGTACTTTTTATTTTTACATTGTCTGTGCAGATTTTATTTCGTTCCTCTCCCAAATGAGCGGTCAACCCCAATATCTATTTAGATTAGAATTTTTCATTGCGATTTTCTTAAAATCTGTATCGGCACCTTGATCTAAGACATTTAAACCGAACGATTTAACCCAACACGATTATTATATTTTGCAGATACTTTTTCTACAAGCAAGGGAACAAGACAAAGACACGGCGACGCTGATCGCGACTGGGGCCGGTGGATGGGTGCGTGCGTGGTCTATTGACCATCAAGGTGGGCTCCTTGGTCAATTCAACGCAGCGCATGGCAAGAACGAATCAGTACTTGCCATGACAACCGATGCGGCTAACAAGTTTCTGATAACCGGAGATACAATGGGTTACGTCGTGGTAAGAACCATCACATTTGTATTATTCAATAACCAAACAAATGTAAACTCGCATGCATGTAAATTTGTCAAAACTATAATTCCTTAATCTTTTCATTGAAAACACATCTTTTATACATAAGAATCAACATCGAGACCACCTTTACACATATCTATAAAGACGCATATTGTGGAGTTTTAGAAGATGAACTTTGCCAATTTTGTTCAACTCACTTTCAAGAGAAAGATATTGTAGTATTTGTTATTTTCGCCAAGGAATAACATTTATAACACCAACATATCAGTCTTCGTCTGTTTTTCCATTTGATTAATGGTTGATAATACAGACGCAATTATTCACCCAAATATTATAAAAATAATCGACGACTCATAATTTTGTTTTCTGTTCGGTAATATTTTATTAGGTATGGGACATCACTGATTATTGTATCAAAGGAGACACTCGCACTAGTCAAACCGACATGCAGAAACAGTTTCCATACCTACAACCAGACGGCGTAATAGGCTTTCGGGCTAAGTTACGCGCAGAAATAAAACACCAGAAGAGTATGCCAAAACCAGCGGCGCAAACAGACCCCGAGAGGACTTTACACGCACCCATGAAAGTCAATGCTTATCGAGGTCATTTGAAATCTATTACCCACATAGAGTACGCCGAGGACAAAAAGTTAATCCTCACAACAAGCACAGACTGTTCTGTCAGGTTGTGGACACTATGCGGTCGTTATATTGGTAAGAAAGTTTACTGTGATTTAAACGCAGATGGCGCTCTATTGTTTTGTCTGTTGCACTTCGTCTTCCGAGCCTTTTTACTCCGATGCGATATTCTATTGACTCAAAATGTCACTTATTTGTTTATTTAATCCACTTATCTCATTTGTATTCGTAGGTACTTTCGGTCAAAAGGGTGGGTGGGAAAAATTGCCGTGCCCCTTTTCTCCCGAGAAGTTACCACGGAAGTTGCCTGGTGATGTTAGGCGCGTGGCGTCTTCAATGACACTCAAGGTTTTTAATGCGGGAAGTCGACCTCGATGGAAGTGAGTATCTTACGATAATATTAAATGCACGTATAACATGCCTTAAGATACTTGGAGTATTGTTGAGTTATGTTTATATTATGTTGTTTGAAAATGCATCTTGATAATAGAGTGTCGTATAATATACCATAAAATTGAAACTGTGATTTCAACAAAAATATCATGGAGTCCATTTACCTGTACGGATAGGTCAGTCCGTTCCGTATGCTCCGTGCATTTTAAATTATATTATCGAACGAATGCAACTGTAGTTTTTTTATCATGTATAAATATACTATAGTCCCTGATAATAACTGACGAACTCCACTCAAAATGCGTCCACTAAAACGGATAGATGAACTAACCTCTATTTGCACCATTATTTGTATTAGATTGGCACGGAATGTACTACTGCTCTTAGGTACGCGTAACTTGTTCAAACGAAAAGAAGACAACAAACTACATATGGCTAAAGCCACGTCACTGGGGGAATATATGTCTGATACCGATTCCAATGAAGACGCCAACTCAGACACTGAAGCTGATCGTGGTACAAGTAAAATTCTGGGTAAATCATATAAACCAAAAACCAGACACAAGATGCCTCCGGTGTTGCCAGAAATACGGACCAACCAAACCCAAGTACGTAGATTATTATGTACTTACTAGTAACTAATTGGCGGTATCGTAGATCTCAAATAATGTGTTGTTGTACTTCATATCCACAGGTGTCTGTGTACTCATCACTGCCATTTTCAGAACTTGACGAAATTCCCGAAGCAAAGCTACCCGCAGTCATTCAACAGATTCACGCCAGACAACTATCACTGGACAATTATGAGAAGGAATCTACGAAGAATAAACTAAAACGTCGAATTCAGGACTACACACAAAAACAGAGAGCGACCAGACTTCTAAATCGTGATCAAAAAGATCAATAACCGGATAATGTATCAACTAACAACGGAACTATCCGATCACAAATCAATTATGTAAATATGAATAAATTAAAACTATGCCTGTAACTGAATGTGTGTAATTATCAAATACTCCTTGACAAAGAGACGACTGCAACATGTGTCTACAGTGAGAAAATGAACCTTATCTCAACAAATCCTTTCCCTGTATTTTTCATTGTCTTTTCACTATTTCCTTGGGCATAATAGCTCTCGTCACACAAGCTTGTTTCACTGACAAACGGCGGTACCCTATACGAATATGATATCATTTCATTACAACACATGTTGTACTGCATATCCAATTTACAAGTAGTCAGTTTACAAACAAATAAACTATAACCGATGCTGAAGAAAAGTGCTGATAAGTCGTGGACGTTTGTTTGAAAGTCAAAACAGTTGCCATGGATGCAAAGTTGTAAAAGTTTGTTAGAAGGTTGGCTAAAAGTCGTTAAACTCGTCCGCCCGAAAATGTAAAACTTGGGTGGAGAGTAAAAAAAAGTTGTGCAAAGATGGTTGAAAAGTCGACTGATTTGAATATGAATTTGTAAAAGTTGGTTTAAATGTCATTAAAACTGACTGAGTTTGGTTTGAAGTGTTGAGTTGGGATGAAAAATGTCAAAACAGTCGGTTGTTGACGGTCGTGTTGAAAGTCGCAAAATGTGATTGCAAAGTCGAAAAAGTTGCGTAGAAAGTCGTTAAAGGTTTCTAAGAACACATAAATAATGAATGAAAAGACCACAAATATTTGGTGAGAAGTCGAATTAATTGGTTGGAAGTGGTAACAAATGGTCAGGAAAAGGTAAACATTAAGAAAAACAAACATTAAACGATATAAAAGTTGAGTGAAGGTCGAACACGTTGTTAGAAGGTGGTTTAAGATGAACGAAAAAAGGCAAAAGCTGAAAATCGAATAGATTGGCTGGAAAGTAAGTGGAAACTTGGGTGAAAAAAACCTGAATAACAATATCTAAAATTGGCAAAGAAGACGCATACGTTGAAGGAAAGTTAGAAAATATATTTGGAGAGTCAAAAGGTTTGGTGCAAAGTTGTAAAATCAAAGTTGAATACGTTGGTTGAAAAGACGAAAGGGTTGTGGTTTGGAACATCATTAATGTTTGCCGGGCATAACAAGTTAGATGTGGTAGCAAATTCACTGAAGTTTCCAGAGCAAAATAAAAGTCTGGTGGAAAGTCGAACCACTTGGTTTAAAATAAAAAAAAAATTCAAAACATATCCTTGAGTAAAAAGTAAAAGAAAATGTTTAGAAAGTCACTAAAGATGGCCAGGAAGATACATAAGCAGGAAGCGAAGGAGAAAATCTTTATTGGAAAGTAATTACATTTGGCCGGGACAAAAACAGGTTGATTGAAAAGTTTAAGGCATAAAGGTTTGGTAGCAAATCGAAACAAAAATAGATGACGAAAAACCTGGTGGAAGTTATTGAAATTGTCGACAAAGTTTTTTGGAAAGTCATTAAAGCTTTCAAAAAACGTGAACGGTTGGTGGAAGTAGAAATATCATTTTAAAGTTGTAAAAGTTGTTTCAAAAGTCGTTTAATCTGGTCAGCAAAATATAAACGTCACAAAACAAGACGGAAAATCACGTGGAAAGTAGAAAAAAGTTAGCCGAGAAAAATTAATAGTTTGTGAAAACTTGAATAGGTTGGTTAGAAAATCGGAAGAGTTGGGTTGAAAGTAAAAAAAGTTAAAAAAAAAAATGTTTCTATACTTAAAAAGTTGTTTGTAAAGTTTTAAAAGAGCGCTGAAATGCTGTAATCGTTGGGTATTCAAATTAGTTGTAAATTTTGCTGTTGTAGTTCATCCTGTTATTGTACTCAAAATGAATGCCTTAAATCTCTCTAAAAATATATATCTATTGCGCAAACAAACTATACAATCTTACAGTTTCACAAGTTTATTTTTTCACGTATATGTATATTCTCTCAAATTAGACAAAACTTAGATTAGATCATTCATAGAATTTACTTTTTGTAGCAAGGCTGAGTTGAAACGCCTTAGTTTCAAAAACGAAGGAATTTGAAAATTTCTGTTCAAAAGCACACCGGTCAATTGTGGTGCACTATTGTTTCTAGGGTGAAAATGTATAATTACGTTATGATATGGTGGATCTTGATTCGACAGACCCTAGTTCGATATTAGAATTGACAAAAAATAGAATTGTGGAAAAAAGGCAGAATTCACTAAAGAAGTACGAGAATTTTTGCAAAATATATATCTAAAGATGGATTGGGCAGTGGGTTTTAAATCAGATAAAGCCCATCCACACACACACTCAGAATATTCGGTGATATTTCGAGTCGGACTTTATAACTCAGAAGAGTAATTGTATTCCGGCTTTATACTATACTTATTTTATCGGATCTGATAGAAATTTTGGCAATAAATCCACTGTTTTTGAGGTCAGTAACCCCTCAAACGTGTAGCTGTCAAGGTTGTAAGATCTAAGTTATATTTATTGCGTTTGTTTGTCGTTTGTGGTATATTATGACATATATTTACCGGTATTATAACGTGGCGAGGGAGAATTATGTGATAAATGAGTTTCGAGTTGTAAACACGCGATAATTGTAATTAAAACATTCTAATCAAATTTATTAATATGCAGTGCAATGATATAGAAATTCAGGTATGGACAATCGTTTTTCGATGAAAAAAACGAGAGGTGCATGTATGGTATTGTTTTCGTAAATGCATGTTATTTTGACACTAGAGGGCGCACTCACAGGAATGGTAAATTGTCTTCAATATACAAGTATTCCCTGTATATTAAAGGGCGGCAGTCGTCGCACCGCGTCTTGTTCGATATGGGACTCATAGCGACGTATACAACGCGTGTAAAATACATTGTTTATTTACATGAAATTCGAACACGCGCTGCGCGACGACCACCGCGCTTTAAAGGTTCATTTCTTGTTACGGCTAGATTTTTCTAACCACGTGGCTTCACTTTTATTCCACAATTTAAAATTTGAAGCCTGAATTATCTGTAGAACGAGTAAATGTTTATTTTGTACATGGCTGATGTAATCCGGGAATCTGACATCATGCAATACTTCATTTTCTTTCCTGCAACTGAAAGTAGCAAGTACCATTGTCGTTTTACATCACATAGCATTGTGTTCATTGCTGTACATTCTATTCATAAAACATACGAAAAGTGGTCATGTATGTAATATGGCGATAATGATCACGTGATAAATTGCACCTTTGCCTGACAAAATAGGAACCGTACGAAAGTGTGACGTCACTAACTTACACTGGTTCTACATTTCATACTTATAACAATCCGTACAAATTTGAAATGTAATTAAATTTTTAAACGGAGTGTAACACATCATGGTTTTAATATTTTCAAATTCCCTTCGAAAACATGATCGAATATAGTCGACATTGCATGGCTGGAATGTGTTCTGTATCTCGTATTGAAACTGTTAAATCATTATTTTGATAAATAATTATTCAACAGACAACAATGTACATCAAATAAAAATAATTATTATGTTTAATGTTACAAATAAAACACAAACGGGAATATACTAAAATATTTTCATCATTGACTTATTTTGTATATTAGCATATATAAATAGGTCATACACAAAAGCGCAGTCGTACAACACGAGAATCGATGTGTGACCTGAATTGAACAATCGGGGTAGGTTGAAAGTGGGTTGGCCCTACTATATATTAACAGATCACTACGTACACTAACCGCAAGTTAATGAATTACAATGACTGTAATTGCTGTCAAGTCAAAATAAAATGCGTATTGTCCTGTCTGTTAGTTCTCAGTTTGGTAGAAGAGTAGAATTATTTTAAAATCATAATATCGCGTAGCACCTCGGTACGATGTCAGTATTATTCTAATGGCGCGGCATAATCTTCGTGGCACTGAAAAGATGAATCATATACCTAAACATAAATATGCAGTAGGCTCACATAGAATAATGAATGAATGACCGAACGAATTGTGTTTTCCAACCTGCAAACACATATAGTGAATCTCGTACGGTAGTGTTCGACTCTTCAATGCGGTCAAATTCTCTCCTAGTTTACTAAATTTTAAAACTCTTTTTGCGGGCACGATCTTCTCACTGTCAAAGGCGTCACATTTATTGTCTAGAGTCTACCTGAAAATTTGTAAACGATTACCAGAATAAGGGACGACGTCAAAAGATCGATGTCGGATAAAAAACTTATTTCCTTTAGTTTGGGGGTGGGGGGTTTTGACCTCAAAAAGTTTCCATCCTACAAAAACGATTTTATTTTTTAATGAAGTCAAAAAAATCTTGGAGTATTTGTAGTTCGTTTTTTTTTCTATCCAATCATGGACAGAAATAACCGAAAAAGAAAAAAAAAAACAACAACAGAAAAATGGTTTGGTTCGAGTGTAAATCTGTGCGTCAAATGAGGTACACCCACCCGACAACCAACTGCTATGCAATACTACTGTCCGATTATCAATTTGTATTTAATGGTGAATGTAGTCTGGCGCCATGACCAATATTTATCAATTAAGTTTCAGTGGGGGGTGGAGGGTTTTGGAAAAAAACTAACCATATTGTGCGAGAGGGCGATCTGAAACATGGGAAATGTTTTATAGAATGGAGAGACAGGAGAGTAAAATACTGAAAATAAATTTGGGGTAACCAGCGATTCTAAAACAGTTCCAGTTTTTAAAGGGCGGTGGTCTTCGCGCAGCGCGTGTTCGAATTTCATGTAAATAAACAATGTATTTTATACGTGTTGTGTAGGTCCCATATCGAACACGACGCGACGCGACGACAACAGCCCTTTAATAATTATGTGTATTAGTTTCCATGGTAACATCGTTTTGACTGTATCTGCATATATTGTCATTGTGTGTATGTTGTAAACGTAACATTTATTACAAAATGTTTATATTTAATTTTTGACCTGTTATCACATATATCAAGTATCGCTCACTCAATTCAGTCATTAAAAATGTCAAACCAAATAACTCAAAAGGGTTATAAACACATCATTATGTGAGGATTATTATACTAAATATATATATTGGAAACTATAATGTAACCAACATTATTCGTATTTTAATAAAAACACAATTATGATTTTACAACTTGTATCATTGACCTTAATATTACGTGTACATAGCGGACGTTGTTTATTTGACAATTGATCTCGTGTACTTATATGTGGTCACGGTTCAGAAACATATGTCCCTTCATTAATACATACTAGTACTAACTCAATAAATGAGATATACGATGACGGTGTTTCAGACGTGATCATGATTTTCACCTGTATATATATGCGTGGAAAAATGAATAAAAATGAAAGTCATTGGAATATGTCTATATTAGCATTGCCGGGTAACGGCATGGTGCCGTGTTTTGTTTTTTTCATTTAAAGGGAAGTGGTCGTCGCATCGCGTCCTGTTTGGTATGGGACTCATAGCGACCGTGACGTACACGCTACGTGTATCATCAAGAGCTTTGAATTGGTCTTGAAATGAAAGCTAGGATTTCGGTGGATACCTGATATCTGCTGTTCGACCGTTGCTGTAATAACAAACATATAGTATAAATTTGTTTACTGCGAGACGTACTTCGATTTTGACACACATGTACTCTTCTAATATTATTTGTTTTTACTCATTTATATGTTACATAGATAGGTGTCAATGTAAGCAATTTTAAAGTACTAGTATATTGATTAATCTGCTTTGTTTCGCATTATTGGTTATCCTATAAGTCGAATTTTAAAATAATTTTAGATGCAAAAGATAGGTTTTTAACAAAATATGAGGGCGCATTCTTTTATCCAATCCCACAATGCATTGTACATATATTTAAGGTGTTCATTTCAAAATGGCGTCCTGCACGGAAGCTGGGTTTAATTTATAAGATTCGTATATTTTTATATTTGTTGTTTGATCTCTTCGCTGATGCTGGGCTGTAGATTGAGCGACTTATTCTTGATCTGGGCGTTACACAACAGTTTCCGTCTAATTATATTTCCCCTCGCCTAGTCCGCCCCACCTCTAGTGATTGTACATTCACAATCACATAGTAATCATTTTACAAATAGACCGTGACGCGAGTTCACTGCTGAGCGAAGTATCGCTCGTGATAGATTACCCCCGATATAACTTTGATCAAATATCCGTTCTCCGTAGAAGCACAGACAATGAGGTAAGGACACCAACAGGTTTATTCACTCACAAACTCCGCATAAATTGCGTTTCTTGGGGTATTTTTATTCTTTCGGAAGTAGCATCAAGATGAACCCGGAACCATACTTCCGCATGTATACAAATCTATGCTGAGATGTTATGCTGCTCTTACAAAGGGGAGGGGTGTATAATGACACATTTTCGCGATTAGAATCGGAGTTTGTTGCCCATGCTCATAATAAAGTAACATTGGGCAAGTAGCGGAGTTAAAATTTGGAAGGTACTGACACATGTTTGTGTACAGTACATAGGCTGGTGCAGCGTCCGGAACAAACACTGTGGTATATCGCAAATGTCTGTCCGTCACCGTGCATAGATCTACATTGTCATTTTGCTTGAACGTGTATGCTGTTATCGCGTTATTGATTTGCAATAATCCAGAACTAGTTCAACGAGATTGTAAAAATCTGTTTTTTTGAAATGTCGAAACCTGTGAATTATAACTCTATCAATCACAGAGTTAACGAGTAAACAAAGCTTACAAAGCATTTACCGTTACAAGTACCTCCAATTGAACTAGTAATTTATCAACTTACTAGTCTCTGTTTTGTTTCATGGTGGAAATCAATAGGAAATACAATTAATTTTATTTCGGAAATTATAGAATATGTTTCCATACTGTTTAGATGAATATATCTGAGTATATCTTAAATCAATTCAATGTAAAAACAAGTTGTCAGATTGATGGATTAATTAGTCTAATTAATCTCCCTGTAAATGCAGAAATGATATTAATATTACAAAAAAACAACACTTCCTTATTAATGTTTTGGTGTGGCTGTTTACTTATTGTTTGCCTATAAAAGGTCCTGCGCAAATGAGGTAGACAAATGTCGTTACAGGAAAATGTACTTCACATAGCAGTGTTGCACTTTATAGTATATCGTTTTAATTCTGATCTTGTGAGCTGCTATCATAGGTCCACAATATAAATCGGTAAATCTATTAAAATTAAAAGTTTAGTGACTATGTGTACTTCAGTAAACACATTACATGTATGCTGAATAAATGCATAAATTTGCATATTAAAATAAAATAATTTTTCAAATTTGTGATCCACATCTTAAGTGATATTGGGCACTGTGTGACTGTTATAATTTTGTGGTCCCATCTAGAAAATATTCTAATATATTTATGCCAGGTTTTCTATATTCTTGCCTAAGGATCTTCACTAGATCACATACCATATAGATATTATGAACATGTTGTATTCCAAGTATGTCAGCATGATGCATAGAACAGTTATTTTTTGAAAGGCTATTTTAGTTCTCTGCCATGGCGATGATGACTTTAATACTGTCTTCGATGACAAATTGCTTTAAAATTTACTGAGCATTTTTTTTTGACATTTCCTCATATAATATATATACTTATAATTTACAAGTGTCTGTATTGTTGGGAGTGTTTGTCATCCCAGTAAGAAAATGATTAGCCTTGTACATGCACAGTGTATATGTTTTTAATAAGAAACTTAGGATAGTTGTAATTATTAAAATTAAGTTGATTCTTACTTCTACATTGCATATCATCTCTGTAATGTTCCGAGTTTATTGCTACTATTTTTTTTTCTTTTGTGTTTTTCAAAGTCTACATTCTTCAGTCTAGTGATCATATATTTTGTAACAAGTGCACTCCATTTTACGAAGGCATGAATGGCTTTTATGTCAATTCTAAATCTTTTATATCACAAGTTCATACCTTCATGAAATAGTGTGTAAATAAGGCCGTAAATATTCTGTGTTGGGATGAATAAAAGCTAACAGTTTCAGACCAAACCAAACCTTTCAAACTCTGAGTTTCTTTCCTCATGCGCTTTTAAAAAAAACAGGGTAACGTCACTTCCATATGCAAATGATAATCAACTAATATGCAAATTAGGTGTTATGCTTCTATTGGAGAATACTGTAGTGTTTTTTGAGTTAGATTCACTTCAGCTACTCTGTATAAAAGACAGGGAAGTTAAGGAAGGAAGTTTATTTATTGACATTGTGTGACTTGGTGTATGGATAAACATTTCAGCTTACAGATATAAAAGAGAAAGTAAAGTGAATCACTTTAACTTAGATGGTGTTTTTGGCCATCAAATTTTATACTAGTAGATTTGGCCACATTACAGTACAGTATGGGTGTTATTCTGTCCCAATAACTTCAACTTATTCTTTGTAGTGTTCACCTTTGTTACTAATATGAGACATATTTAAGCAGATTACTCAATTACTCAGCTTGAGAAGAAGCTAAGCCAGCCTTGAATTAGCTAAATGTTGACTTACGCTGGGATTAACCTGGACTGTACTGTACCGTGTGTTCTATCTCTCAGATAAGAACTAACATTGTCTCTTTGTTGATCTTATTCTATCCAAGTTTTTAAAACGGCTTTATCAATCCCAGCTTTTCTAGCTGTGTCTAAAACTGGGACTACATATACATATCTCTCTGACTTTCTTTGTGTCCAGGTTATTATTTAGGGATCTAAGTCAAAATGGCCATTTTGGTTCTAAAACTTTTCCTAAATTATCTCTCCCATTGCGAAACTAGATCCCAAATTTTATTCAAATTCATGTTCATTCATAAATAGGTCATTTGTGTATGTCACTTTTTTTTTCCCCCAGAGCAAATTCAAAATGGCCGACACGTGGCTATTTTGTTTAATGAATTCTAATTTGAATTCATGTCTGTCATATAGATAAAAAAAGTCAAAATGGCCACTGGGTAATACCCGGTAAACAAATTTTTAAAAATGCTATTCTATAACTGATTGTAAACTTATCAGGACTGATTGTGTTTACACTTGGTTGTACATAGTGAATTACATTTCTAGTACAAATAGATGACTGATTCAATATGGCCGACTCAATATGGCCGACTCATAGCCATTTTGAGTGGATGCATGGATGAATTAGTGAATGTAATTCTACTAATACCTAGATAATTTGCCTTACCATATTTGCTTACCATAGTCACATAAGTGTTTCTATATTCAAAATAAGTTGTATTTTGACTCCAGTGTGCAAATTTGCATAAATTAACCAATTTATACATGTTCCACTGATATCTCCAGTACCACTCATCAATTTGAATGAAATTTGGTAAATAAGTGCTTTTGGATAATCCATAGACCTTTATAACCTTAGTGCTGAAATCCATGCATAGGGCTGTATAAGTTGACATGGATCTGATTTAAAGGGGCACCTTCCATTTAAGCCTAATCTCACAACAAATTTACTTTCTGGATTAAAATAACAATGGATAACAAAAGATAGATTAACATTGTAAACAACATAAACAATAGTGTCCCATGATTCTTTGGTGCAATCCATGGGATTGAGCGGTTCCCCTTTAAAAGGTGAATATTAAATCTGTAATTATTTTTAAATATTATTTGTACTCAAATACCCTTAGCACACAGGAGTTGTTCCTAACATTTCATTGATAATGATAAGAGTTTGTTTTAACCCTATATCTGCTTCCTTAGACCCCTACTAAAGTACAAAAAAAAAGTCACATTAATAATATATTGCAAGTTCTAGTTCATTTTCTCATCAGGACATGCTACACCATGATGTTAATGCAATCATTACTTCTAATGGAGGAAATATAGTTTTTCTTTTGTGTCTTGATTGTTTACATTCACATATAACATTTTACATTTAATTTTGCATTAAAAACTTACAGGGGCTGTGTCATGGCAGTGACTCGCTTATTTATAGGAATTTCATGAAAAATGTGAGACAATGATGACTTTAATGTCATATTGCAAAGAATCCAAACGCTATAAAAAATAATGTTTCAAATGGAATGAAACCTTGCATACATTATCCTATAGTAAAAGCTGACCTTTCAGTTTATTTATGATGTCACTGTATGAACTTTGACATCAAAATTCAAATAAAAACATTCTAAGCGGTGTTTCCAACATCAAAAATGATTGCAGATTTGAATTCTTAACTTGTTTCTTATTTTGCTTTCAGTGAAAGGTCTATTTGTCAAACATGGGCGTCTGTTATGTTGTATGACGATGCCAATAAGCGATGGACTCCCTCTGGTGGTGTACAGGGACTCTCCCGTGTACATATATACCACCATGTTCAGAACAACACTTTCAGAGTGGTGGGACGATTGAAATCGGACCAATCAGTAAGTATTGATTACTAGTATGTAGCCGAGTAGTGACCAACTTTTAATTGAGAGAGATGCTCTTTTTTTACTGATTCTGTTCAAACTTAGAATATTGGTAAAAGCTGTTGGCTTATTGACGCACATCAATTCTATCATTTTCGTGATAGTAATTTATAATTTCATTATGCAATCAGTAAATTTGGTACAGAGGCAAAAGTGATCTGTGTTACAATCTGATCCAAGGTGGTTGACTAGCAACCATTTTTTTTGACGGAAATCTGCAATTTTTGTGTATTTTTTTCACAATTTTGCTTACCATATATCTCCAATACACTGACAATTGCGTTTGAGCACATCAATGAAATTTGATCTGTGTTTAGATTCAACAAATGTTATTTTCATTGAAAAGTTGCTCAACTTTAGTCATTTTTATTGGGGAGATTGCTCAACTTTAGTCATTTTATTGGGGAGATTGCTCAACTTTAGTCATTTTTATTGGGGAGATTGCTCAACATTAGTCATTTTTATTGGGGAGATTGCTCAACATTAGTCATTTTTATTGGGGAGATTGCTCAACTTTAGTCATTTTTATTGGGGAGATTGCTCAACTTTAGTCATTTTTATTAGGGAGATTGCTCAACTTTAGTCATTTTATTGGGGAGATTGCTCAACTTTAGTCATTTTTATTGGGAAAATTGCTCAACTTTAGTCATTTTTATTGGGGAGATTGCTC